CATTCGAGCCTGTTCCCCCAGCCGCCGGTGCTTCTGGGTCTGACTAGTGGCCACTGTCTTTCCAGCTTTTCCGGTTAACTTTGCCTTTTCTTTTGAGGTAGAGGGTTTGGAGGACAGCTTGGCCCTGGGGCCCTGGTGTGGAGGTTTTCGGGGCAGGGGGAGGAGCTAACATTGGGGGGCTTGGCCCCCATTTGACCCCACTTGGGTTTCGGTACCCTCTGTGTGGGGGCTTGTTACAGGGGGTGGGATTTTCTTATCCTCCCTCCCTGTATGAGTTTGATATGGCATTGGCTCCCTCCCAGGATTCGGTTCCGGGTTCCCTTGTGTTCTTTGGTCCCTTCCTTCCGGAGGTTTTCTGCCTCCCGCATCCCACCTTATAAGGCACGGGAGGCTCATGCAGCTTACCTTCTGTGTGACTCAGATTACGCCTCGATAATGGATCTTGCCTCTTTTGAGTTTGGTTCTTCCTTTCCTTACTTGGTGCGTTACAAGGTTCTGGAGTCATCCTAGTTGGCAGACTGTAAAATCTTTTCGTTGAGGGCATGGCATACGTTCTGTCGGTCCCACATGCTTGAGTGGCAAGAAGCTCTTTTTCGAGGCTCTTACCGTTGTTCAGGTTTACCTTGGGGGGCGAGTTTGAACGCTTCAATGCATGTTTGTTCGCCCCTGTCCTTCTACGGGACGTCAGCCAGGTGTAGCGTCACGTGCAGGTTTCCTCCCTTTCACCGACTCTGGAAGCTGATGACTTGCGTGCCCGTGGCCATTTGGCTTTGGTCCTGCGTTTCTTTTCCCTTCTCGAGCTGTCTTCGGACTGGCTTCAGGAAAACGTAGAGGCGCTGAGTGCCGATCCTGGGTCTGGTGCGCTGGTCTCAGCGGTGCGGGCATCGGTTGCCTTGTTGAAGCTGTTTGTGATGCTCCTGCAGGAGGCGATATCTCTGTTCTTTGCTTCTCGTCTTGCATGCCGTCAGGCGGTGCCCGCTTAAGTCTTTAGAATCTACATGGGCACTGGCTCTTGGGTGTTCTTCAACTTTTTGTCCTTTGCTGTTTGCAGAGTTTGCGGTGGTGCAGTATCTGCAAGCGGTTTCTTAAAGTTGTCGTCCCATGTCGCATTTGTTGGTTTTACAGGGGGGTGGGCTGTGGGGGTTCTTCCTGGAAAGATCGTGTAAGGGCTTGGGTTTCCTCCTGTCGTGGTAGGCCAGTAGTGCCAGTTTCTGAGCTCACACAGCCTTCAGAGCCGGTGACATGTGGTCAGCGCGGTGATTGCTCTGCTTGTCGTCCGGCTTCTTGTAAGGGGGCGTCAGCCCTTTCGCAGTTTGTCCCATTGACGTGGGGATAGGGAGAAAGCTCGCACTGTTTGCCCATGCCTGGTCCATGATTTGTGGGCATTTTCGATCGTTTCTTGCTGCATGCTGTGGTGGGGGGTTGGGGCTGGAGGGGCATGCCTCTTCTCCTGCGCTCTGTCAGCTCATCTTGGAGTGGGTTTGCTTGGGCATGGTCGAAACGTCCTCATCCTTCAGGTGAGTTTCCCCGCCTGCTTCCGGTTCCAAAACAGGACTGCAAGGACCTGCGGTTCATTCTGAACTTGTCCCGTCTGAACCCCCTGGGTCTATTGCCCCTCCTTTCAGATGATTACTCTGATGTAATCATGACAGAGACTCCAAGGCTCCAAGAGATGATAGGTCTGTCATCTATTGGAGCTGGGTGCTTGGATGGTGTCCCTGGATCTTAAAACACATATTGATATGTACCAATTCATCCAGGGTTTAGGGATTGGCTCAGTTTTGTTGTGGGGTCCCAGCCAGTCTGTATGTCTGCTCGCCAGGGATTTAGTTCTTTCCCAGCTCGCCGGGTTCAGATTCCTGGAGAACTAGACAAAGTCCCATCTAGTTCCCTCTCAGGTTTGGTCTTAGCTGGGTCTTGTGTGGGACTCTCGGACTGCTTCCTTGTCCCTCCCTCCGGAGGCTCTGCTGAGGCTGCGGTCCCGCCTTCATCTGTTTCTAGGGGGCTCCTGGGTAACGCAGTGGTTGCTCGAGGGTTTATGCAGGAGTCTGAATTTCGCCGTGATGGTCTACCCACCGAGCCAGGTCTGGCTTCGTCTACTGTTCTGGTTCCTTTGGGACATCTCTTCCGCCTCTCTCACGATTGCTGGGTTCAGCCACCTGGTGCCTTACGTTAGCTGCTGTATCGCTGGCTTTCTCCTCTTGGGTTTTTTTGGGGTTCAGTGCCTTGGCGCCTATCTGAGCCCTTGCTCGATGTGTTCATGGACGTGTCGTCTCTTGGCTGAGGCTTTGTGACCAGTGCTCACCAGGTCAGCCAGGAGTGGTGGGGTCCATCCTTCCGTCGGGCCCACAGCACTGTGCAGGAGTTCACAGCGGTGTGTATGTCACTTCGGAAGATTCAGGTCGTTCGCAGACTGACGGTTCGGTTCCATTCGGACTCCTCCCTGATGGTTCATTGCTTGAACCGCGGGGGTTACTGTTCGGTGTGGTTGGCTCTCCTAGCCGTTCATGTTTGGAGGGTGTCCAACGTCCTGGCAGAAGGCCTGTTTCGGTTCATTCCCCTGCCCACGGAATGGACGGTAGACCCCAACTCGTTCAGTTGGCTCTGCTGGACATACAGGCTCCCGGAGGTGGACCTATTCATGTCAGCGTTGTCAAGGCATTTTCTGATATATGTGGTGCCCTTCCCTGACTGCAAGGTTCTCGGGGGTCGATGCCTTCAGGCAGGACTGGTCGAGGTGGGGTTACCTGTACCTCTTCCCACCCGGTTCCGCTGTTGCTCCAGGTCCCTGATTTGTTTGGAGACTTACCAAGGAAGAGTAGTCCTCTTGGCCCCTTGGTGGCTGACCCAGCCTTGGTTTCAGGCACTGCTTGTTTGGTGTCCGAACCCGGGGGTCTTCCCGTGGCTCCGCCTTTTTTAACAGATCGGGCCAGTCTGTTATGTAGCCGATTCGATCTTCTCCTCAAGTCTACAAGTCCTATCTTTCTGACGCAGGTCTATCACCACTTGTATGGGGAGCAGGTGGCTTTAATGATAGTGTCTCACTTGCATGCTTTGTCTCAGCGGCAGTATGAAGTTTAATAGCGGTCCTTTCATTATTTCTTGTCCCACCATAGGTTAGCTTCTGTTTCGGATCAGGTTGTCCTGTCCATCCTTTCTTGGTTGTTTCAAAACCGTCATCTTATGCCGACTACTGTCGTCTCATATCGTGCGGCACTGGCGAAGCCGCTGCAGCTTGCGTTCGGGGTGCTCAGGGTGCTTCATGCTCTCCTCCGGCGTAGAGGTGTCTGCTCTTTTGGTCCTGGTGGTAGGTTTGTTCGTTTGCAGCCGTCTCCTCCTTTTCTAGTGAAGAATGAAACTGCTGCTTTCCGGAGGGGTCCTTGGGTTTGTTGATGGTGCTTCACCCTTACCTGCTCGTCAAGACCTCAGTGGACGGGAACGCGCTTCTGGTTGACCCGGTTTCCCTTCTCCTCTGTTCTAGAGTTCAGGTCTCCCGAGGTTGTCAGTAGGGTTATTCAGTCCAGCCAGCCTGCAGTTTATCCTCATGCCCATGATGTTCGTAAATTTGCTGCATTGGCTGCTGTTTTCAGTAACATGTCTTGGACTAACATTTGGACACGAGGTTTTTGGAGGTCGAATAGTCCTGGCTGCTCGCTACCTAGTCAATGTTCCTGGCCCTAGTCGGGCGTGTGTCGCATTGGGTCGGCGGTTGCAGCCAATTGTCTCGCCTTCGAGTTGAGGAGCGAGTGGCGACCGCCTCCCGGGTAAGTCCCTCTTGTTTTATCCTTGGTTAAATAGTTCCAGGGAGCTGAAGGGGCTCCCTCCAGAAAACCAGCGTTGAACGTAATGAAACGCCATTTTCTGGGTGAAACCCGGAAGCTCCCCGGCAACCCTCCCACCCTTAAGTTGGCGGTTTTTGCAGTTTTGATATCTAGCCTCAGAAATGTGGGTGGATAACTGGCATGGGGGGGGTCTGAGGCTCTCTCTCCCATTCCCCCTCTCGGGAAGGGGGAGAAGGAAGGGGAGCAATAGCAGCATGGTGACAGTTGTGACGTCATGCTCATTTCCTCGTTTTAGTTTGAGGAGTTCTGTCCAACACTTCAGCTATCAGTAGCAATTTTTTAAACAGATAGGGTTTGTTTTGGGGCGTCTGCCTTTCTGGGTGCCTGATGCAGTCGATGGCAGACATAGAATGTTTCCAACCACACGGGGGTTTGAACCACAGCCTCTCTGAGGGGGGCCAGGCCCAGGGGCGTGGTCCCCAGTAGGCCTAAGAACTCTATTCGCTTGACTGATGCCAGGTCTCTGGGTCTCACCCAGAAAATGGCATTTCATTACATTCAATGCTGGTTTTGAAGGTGAAGTTTCCATATATTAGTCAAGATGAGGGCAACCCAGAACTTGTACCTGATGAAAAACCACTTTCTTTTCCTTGAAGTCAAAGGTTCTTTTGATTATTTCTATGATTTGGCCGACATTATTTTTCTTATTGCAGCTGCTATTTGTTTAGCAACTTTCATTGACTGGTGGATCCTGATAGTGGTGTTGATATGATAGTCATGATGTGCACTGTAATACCTAACTTTTAAGGTCTTGCATTTTTGAATATTGACAAGTATTTGCCAGTCTTCTGACCATTTATGGAGTTCATGTAGGTCACTTTGCAAGTCCTCAATATCATTTCTGCTTAACACTTAACCATGTATCTTTGGGTCATCAGTAGATTTGATGATGATGTTTGCAATATTCTTATCCATATCTTTGATGTATTTACCAAAAAGGATTGGCTCCAAGATGGAACCTTGTGGTATTCCACATCTAAAACATTACTTCCCTATATTGTTTTACTATATTCTGCAGCCTCTATACCCCCATGAAAGTGCAAAATGGGATAATGATGATCACAACTTCAGTTACTGCATCTGATTTGATCAGTTAATTATTACTGTTTGTAAAAATCATTATTAATTTGTATGAACTGAACAGATTTATAAACTTACCAATGATATCAGATATTTCTGCAATCATCATGACAGCTTCTGAAGTTAAAACTGGCGAGGGAATATCCACAGAATAATCTGAAAAAATGATGATTATAAAAATTTGATAAATTTTATATTATATATATATATATATATATATATATATATATATATATATATATATATATATATATATATATATATATATATATATATATATATATTTTTTTCACGACTTTTCTAAGGCCAAAGCGGTTGCTTTGCATGCATATGCAGCGGTTGTGTGGTGCCCATATCTTAAGAAGCACATCAACAAACTGGAAAAGGTGCAAAGACATGCTACTAAGTGGCTCCCAGAACTGAAGGGCAAGAGCTACGAAGAGAGGTTAGAGGCATTAAATATGCCAAAACTGGAAGACAGAAGAAAAAGAGATGATATGATCACTACATACAAAATAGTAACAGGAATTGATAAAATCGATAGGGAAGATTTCCTGAGACCTGGAACTTTAACCCTTAACATGCTCGGGGTCTAATATCCTGCTATCCACACAGGCGCATGTCATTTTGAAAAAAAAAAAAATTTTTTTTTTTTGCTAATCTGTTAAGTTCTGTTCACTGATCACGGGAAAAATAAAAAAAAAATTCTATTGTACTTACTTTTGTTGCAATAGAGCCGAGAAGCTCTGCGATGACGTCACAATCTGCATGGTCGCTCATGCAGTACATGCCCGGGAGATGTTGCGCGCGGTCCTCAAACAGCCAGAGTTGCCACAAATATATTTTCGCGCTATTTATTTACAATGTCTAAGCGCATTTTATCTAATTTTTTTTCACTAATTGTGTTTCAAATACTGTTTGAACATATTTTGTATCAATAATTGTTGCATATTTCAGTATACACAGGCGCACACAAATGTTTTCAATTACGGCAATATAATATGTCATTACAGTCTATTATATTATATGTTCTGCTTATATGTTTACATATTTACACACTCGCACACGCTATACACACTTTGAAGCACACTTAGAAGATTTCTAGACTGTGGTAGTCATTGAAGCAGTCGACAGCACATAATGGGATACCACACGTTTCACACCATGTTTGCACAAGCTTCCGTTTCTTGTCTCTACGTGTCGTTGTTTTACACACCAAGCAATCACGTTGGGCTATTGCACGCTTCACACCAGGTGGCAAATACTTAAGTTTGTGTGCTAGGAAGCCTTCAGTGTGAGCGAGGCGTGGAGTACCAGCATGCTGCAACAGTGGGTTTATGATGGGCCGCTGAATACCTGGGACATCTTTTGCAAACTTTCCTAATAACTGTATTGCAGCATCAAATACAAAGTCACGGAAAGTGGGCTTACGTCCAGTTCTCACAAGGTACATGTTGAAACAGTTCAGCATGCTCATGTCCACAAGATGGAAGAACACTTTTTTCGTCCACCTACATGTCTTCCGCACACACTCTGCAGTGCCAATCATCATGTCTGATTTATCAATCAACCGCATGTTGATATTATAGTCTAAAACACAGTCTGGCTTATATAGTGGTGCGTTTGTTTTATGGCTCACTTTCCCACTGTTCACCATTGTTCCATCATGAATTGTTGTCAACAAGTACACCTCTCTTTTGTCTTTCCACCGAACTGACAGAATGTTATCACTTTTCCTTCTCTGACACTCACCAACTGCAATGTCGTTGTCAAACACAGGCATTTCCCTTCGTTGTGGCTTTACTGTACCAACCAATCCGGTTCTATTTTCTAGCAAGAACCGAGCTAGCAAGGGACTTGTATAGTAATTATCTGTGTATAAAATGTGTCCCTTGTTCATCCACGGAGCCATGATGGTCTTCACTACACTCCCCGAGAATCCATGTTCGTCGTTACCGGGAATGTCTACATCACTAGCCGAGTACAGAATCATGTGTAACACGTATCCTGTCTCACAATCACAAAGAACAAAAAATTTCAGGCCAAATCGGTTTTGTTTTGAGGGAATGTACTGTTTGAATGGAACACGTCCCTTGAAAAGTATGAGAGATTCATCAACCACCAGCTTCTGTGCTGGTACGTAAAAATCTCTGAATTTTCCAATAACATCGTTCATGTAGTGCCTCACTCGCCACAGTCTATCATCAGGTGTTCGGTCCTGAACACTTCCAAAATGTAGACACCTGAGGAGTATCTGAAACCTGTCTCGTGACATATATTTCCCGAATAAAGGTGTTGGTATTGTCTTGTCCTTGCTCCAATAGTCATTTATTGCATGTTTGTGACAGTGCTTCATCAACAAACAGAGTGCCAAAAACACATACATTTCCGCCACTGTGGTATTTTTCCAACGCTGCAGTCGTGAAAATTCTGTGATTTCCCTCTCAATCAGGTAAGCAGCATGCAGGTTCGTTTGGTGTACAATGTATTCCATGAGTGGTTCATCATAGAATGCTGTAAAATATTCCATCTCAGCCATGTCCTCACCTTGGTTAGGGAAAAGGTTTGTAATCCCTACATCTTTATCGTCAAAGTGAGGAATATTAGGAATAAAATCGTCACCATCACTCCACTCAAGTACACCAGGCGTCCTACGAGATGCAGAGGAAAGACGGCGAGGAAGCGATGCATACCGGCGACCAGGAGCTGAATACCGTCTGCGAGAAGCACGGCGGCTACGTGCACGTGAGGTGGGTGCACGTGAACACGAGGGTCTTGGTCCCTCATGTGGTGCCATGCGGTGGCGCTTGGCTGGGCGAGATGCTGCTGACGCGACAATTTCTCGCCCAGTTACACCACTGGTACCAGCCACAGGCTCAATAAAACTTTGATCTGAGTCACTAAACCCAGAAAAGGAGTCACCTCCCTCTGACTCGTCACCCTCAAACAGAAAATATCCACAGGAACTGTGAGGTCGTGGTAGAATTGGGGTAGAAAATGGGCGAGGAGGCATGGGAGAGCGTATAGGCCTCGCCATGGCATGGCGGTCATTTTCACTTTCACTGCTGCTGCTACTATCTCCCGACAACTGTGTATAATCCTCATCGTTGTCTGAATCGTCAAACACACTTTCTTCACCTTCAGAGAATAATTCGTGGGCTATTTGCTCTGGGGTGAGGGACTGAGTGATGCGTGCTCGTGAGGCGTTTGACCGTGCGCTCGCCATGGTGACTCTCGCTAAACTGAGGCCTCCCATGCCATCGGAGCGTGAGCTGGATTTTTTTTCAAAATGGCCGCTGTTTACTAGAGCCCCTGGGCAGCGTATGGGACCCCCAGCTACACCGCGGGCCATTCAAATCGTGCGCGGTACCCATACACTTCATATGAAGTGAAGCGCAGTTGACTGGTAAAACGATTTACACTTCATATGAAGTGATGCGCACTTTAAGGGTTAAGAACAAGAGGTCATAGATATAAACTAGCTAAACACAGATGCCGAAGAAATATAAGAAAATTCACTTTCGCAAACAGAGTGGTAGACAGTTGGAACAAGTTAGGTGAGAAGGTGGTGAAGGCCAAGACCGTCAGTAGTTTCAAAGCGTTATATGACAAAAGAGTGCTGGGAAGACGGGACACCACGAGCGTAGCTCTCATCCTGTAACTACACTTAGGTAATTACACACATACACACACACACAGTGGCACCTCGATTAACATGAGGGGCTTTGTTCCTCATTGTCTCCATGCGGTGCCATGCGGCGGCATTTGGCTGAGCGAGACTGCTGATGCGACAAAACATCGCTCGGTAACATCACACTCACTGCTGGCACTAGCGACAGATGTGATAATACTCTTTTCTATTTCAACTTCACTAAAACCAGAAAGAGAGTGTCACCTTCCTCTGACTTGTTGCCAAAAAAATCCTCATGCTGCACATATCCACATGAACTGTGTGAGCGAATTGGTGCAGAGGGTGGGCAAGGAGGTAATGGTGAGCATGTAGGCCTCACCCTCAGAGCAGGCACAATCTCATTCTCACCCTCCATTTCATTCCCATCGGACTCTTGTGTATAGTCTTTATCGATGTGTTTACCGTAGCTCATGCGCTACGGAAAAAATTAAAATATAAAAACAGAAACCACGTACAAAACTCGATCAAATCATAACATAGAACGAAAAGGCAATGTAAAGGATTTGGGTGTACTCATGTTGGAAGACCTTACCTTTAAAGAACACAATAAAGTAGCCGTCACAACTGCAAAAAAAAAATGACAACAAGAACTTTTCACACTAGAGATGCTATACCGATGATGATACTTTTCAAAACGCTTGTGCTCTCTAGAGTAGAGTACTGCTGCACAATAACAGCCCCTTTCAAAGCTGGAGAAATTGCTGACCTGGAGAGCATGCAAAGATCCTTTACTCCTGGAATCCACTCAGTAAAACATCTAAACTACTGGGACCGACTAAAGAGCCTAAATCTGTATTCCCTTGAGTGCAGGCGGGTGAGATACATAATAATTTACACATGGAAAATAGTAGAGGGGCTGGTCCCAAACCTGCACACAGAAATAACATCACACGAGACCAGAAGGCATGGTAGGATGTGCAGAATACTCCCGTTGAAGAGCAGAGGTGCAACAGGTACTCCGAGAGAGAACTCTATCAACATCAGAGGCCCGAGACTGTTCAACACGCTTCCATTACACATAAGGGACATAACTGGCCGACCCCTCGCAGAGTTCAAGAGAGAACTTGATAAGCACTTCCAAAGGATACCTGATCAACCAGGCTGTGATTCGTACGTCAGGCTGTGAACAGCCGTGGTCAACAGCCTGGTTGACCAGTCCAGCAACCAGGAGGCCTGGTTGACGATTGGACTGCGAGGACGCTAAGCCCCAGTAGCACCTCAAAGTAAGGTAACCTCAAGGTATGTCAGAGTCATCAATATCAATTCCCCTCAACATCAGAAAAAAATTTTGTATGAATTTCATCCTCAGTCAGGCGGCATGGTGTGTTGAGCGCAGTCAGCCACTGGGACGTGATGTGCTCACCATGGTGTCTGTTGGGTAACTGACCACCCCCCCCCATAAAAATGGCGGCCTACGCTGGATATTTTTCCAAGATGGCATCTGTTTACTATCGCCCCTGGGCAG